AGATCCTGGCTAGGCTGCTGATCAACTGAACGCTGTCTCCATGTCATTTCTTCTTCGCCGACTCCGTCCACACCTTTGGGGACCCCTGGACCTGCTGGGTTGGACCCCAACAGATGGCGCCCGAACAGGGACCCCTAGGTAAGCCCCCCCACACTCGGGACGGATAGGACTCCACTGTAGGAAGAGGGTGGATAGTCTTCGCTGACTCCGTCCACACCTTTGGGAACCCCTGGAACAGGATTCCCCTGGGTAAGCCCCCACCCCCATTGAGAACCCCCACACTCGGGACGGATAGGACTCCACTGTAGGAAGAGGGTGGATAGTCTTCGCTGACTCCGTCCACACCTTTGGGAACCCCTGGAACAGGATTCCCCTGGGTAAGCCCCCACCCCCATTGAGAACCCCCACACTCGGGACGGATAGGACTCCACTGTAGGAAGAGGGTGGATAGTCTTCGCTGACTCCGTCCACACCTTTGGGAACCCCTGGAACAGGATTCCCCTGGGTAAGCCCCCACCCCCATTGAGAACCCCCACACTCGGGACGGATAGGACTCCACTGTAGGAAGAGGGTGGATAGTCTTCGCTGACTCCGTCCACACCTTTGGGAACCCCTGGAACAGGATTCCCCTGGGTAAGCCCCCACCCCCATTGAGAACCCCCACACTCGGGACGGATAGGACTCCACTGTAGGAAGAGGGTGGATAGTCTTCGCTGACTCCGTCCACACCTTTGGGAACCCCTGGAACAGGATTCCCCTGGGTAAGCCCCCACCCCCATTGAGAACCCCCACACTCGGGACGGATAGGACTCCACTGTAGGAAGAGGGTGGATAGTCTTCGCTGACTCCGTCCACACCTTTGGGAACCCCTGGAACAGGATTCCCCTGGGTAAGCCCCCACCCCCATTGAGAACCCCCACACTCGGGACGGATAGGACTCCACTGTAGGAAGAGGGTGGATAGTCTTCGCTGACTCCGTCCACACCTTTGGGAACCCCTGGAACAGGATTCCCCTGGGTAAGCCCCCACCCCCATTGAGAACCCCCACACTCGGGACGGATAGGACTCCACTGTAGGAAGAGGGTGGATAGTCTTCGCTGACTCCGTCCACACCTTTGGGAACCCCTGGAACAGGATTCCCCTGGGTAAGCCCCCACCCCCATTGAGAACCCCCACACTCGGGACGGAGGGACCTGATGTACTTTTAACCTGGGGGAGAGGAGATGCTTGTATATTTCCACAGGATGCAACTCACCTGTGTGGATTCCAGACTGTCTAATCCGACCTTATTTCACACCACCCTCCGTCTCCTCCTCATCCTCCTCATCCTCGGTATCATCCATATGGTCTGACCCAGAGGGCACAGCTTACTTCTCCTTGGACACCGACACCACCATCAAGCACGGCCCTGATGGACCCTTTGATGCAGCCCTTCAACTCGCTGACACTTCGGGAAGCCTGTCACCAATGATGCTGCCCGCTAGCCAGATCAACAAGGACAACCAAACCACCAACTTGAGGACAGCTGAAATCCCTTGACTAAAGAGGCCAGCAACCTTCTACAGGAACAAGGCTCCTTGTGCGCTCCATCCACTATGTTTCTAGCTATGCTTATTGTCATTGCTTGTCAGTCTTCTTCTGAGTCTTAACCCAATCTGAGAGGTGGCCACTGATTTACATGCGCTATCATTTAAAAAATAAAAAAGGGGGAATTTGCCGGAAGCCGATCCATCCTTGCTGCTTGACACAGTCGCTGCAGAGAAGAAACATCTGCACAGCATATGTTTCAAGGGACCTGGTGTATATGGCATACTGTTCTTAATATGTTTGCTCCCCTTCTTGGCGCTATGTGTTTTAACCAAGGTCACCTCTCCCCAGGTAGGAATTTTTCCCTGAAGTTAGGGAGGAGATAAAACCCCTTAACTAAGTGCCAGGCGGGTAGTTAATCACTTTAACTACAAACAATCATGCTTAAGCTACATAATCTTTACTCCCTGGAATGGAGATAAGAAACACCCTAACCTTTGGAATAGAGATTGATAGGATTGGAATCAACTGGTATAAATACAGATGTAACAAGACAACAGGAGACAGAACCTGGAGACAGAATCTAGAGACAGGACTTGGCTGGAGATCCTAGACAGAACCTAGGGACAGAACCTAGAAACAGAACCTAGCGAGAGAACTTGGCTGAAGAACCTAGACAGAACATGGCAGGAGAACCTGGATAGAACCTGGAGAGCCTAGAGACAGAACCTAGAGACAGAACCTAGTGAGAGAACCTGGCTGAAGAACCTAGAGACAGAACCTAGCAAGAAAACATGGCAAGAGAACCTCGCTATGCTGATCAACTGAACAAAGCCTCTGTCTCCTTCCTTCTTCGCCGACTCCGTCCACACCTTTGGGGACCCCTGGACCCACTGGGGTTGGACCCCAGCAGATCCACAGTCTTCAAACCCACTGACCTAGGACTCCCAGAGCTGGCTTCGTGGCAAGGTGACCCTGTGGCTGAAGGGTCGGCCCTCACTGTGATGGAGCCCACACCTGCACGCTAGGACGTCTTCTTGTAGCTGGGTGGGAGCCCTCCCAGCTTTTTTGTATGTTAAGGGGCCGGCCCCCTGGTTCATAAGGTAAACTAGCTCTCACATGGGAGATGGACAAGTCTTCAGAAAGTGGGGTAGACAGGGCATGAATCGTAACTTCGGGACTGGAAATTGTTAGAGTTTAAAACCTTCACTTTTAAGATTCAAGTTCCATCCCCCTACCCTCAGGTAAGGGAGGGACAGGTGAGAAGGCACATTAAGGCTGTTGGCTGTTTCTTCAGGGATTGAATTGAAAATGGCTGAAAGGGGAGTATGGTCCTATGTTTGGGGTCAGAGGAGAATGGAAGGCTCTGATCCAAAATTTAACATGCTTTTCTGGAGAGCACTAGCCTATCATGTCTGGGCAAAGCCGTGCAGGGATCTCAGAGCTGCCAGATCCCCAGAGGCAGCCGTGCGGCCTTGGCAAGGCTCTGGCAGGATTGTCAGGGGCCTTGCTGAGTAGTAATTGGAGAGAACCCATGCTAGTGGGCTTGCTGACTGGAAGCCACAGTGGTGATGACAGTAGGGCAAAGTTAGGTGGGAAACTGACACTGGTTTGTTCTGTGTGAGGCCTTGGTCAAGTCTGCCAGCAAGAACAAGACCCAGTGTACCTGACAGTGCTACTGGAGATCAACAAAATGAGAAGGCTGGGCCTTGTGACTGTGAGCAGCAGGTGCCCAAGAGCCAGCCCACCTTTCCCGGGTGTGCAGGGTGAGCCAAAGCTCGGGAGGCCACTGCCAGCAAACTTGGGAACAGTGTGAGCCCTGCTCACAGGTGATGCAAGAGCATGCCAGTGTTTTAGCTCAGAGAAACACCAACTGCCAGTCCAGGCTGGGAACTCACTTTTTCCAACTGATCAGAGAGCTGTTTTCAAAGCCTGGATGTCTGTGGAATTCCCAGTAACCTATTTCACTGCTTCCTTTCGTGATTCTTACAAGCACAGCTAACCTTGAGAATACTGAATTCCTGTCGCAGTATGTTTTATAGCATATAGCAGGTCCTCGAGCAAAGATGTTTCATTATAAGGTTGAAGAGGAAAAGAAGATTCCCGGCGGGGCCACTGTCTGTGTAGTTTGCATGTTCTCCCATGTCTGCGTGGGCTTCTCGGGGTACTCTGGTTTCCTCCACATCCCAAAGACGTGCGTGTCGGTGAACTGGTGGGTCTAAGTTGTCCCGGACTGAGTGAGTGGGGGGCTGAGTGTGCCCTGTGACGGGCATCCTGTCCAGGGTTGGGTCTTCCTTGCGCTCTGAGCTGCCGGAACAGGCTCCAGCACTAAAGACCCTGAACTGGAATAAGCAGTTTGGAAAATAATTATCTTGTTTTTATTAATCTTTATTAAATTTATGTATAGCTCATATTTATGCCAATGTTTAATATTAGAAATATTTTGGGACTTTATTTAGAATTTGGGTGATGTTTTGTGACCACAAATATGCTACAGGAACTTAATTCTTGTTTATATCACTTAACATATGGTAAATCGGTTTTCTTATACTCATTTTGCTTAAAGTTTCAGTTTCCAAGAACCTATCGAGGATGTTAGAGGACTTACGGTATCTCTGCTGGCTTAATGGATCCAGTGTGTACTGAGACTTCAAATGGGCTACTTTCTGGGGCTTATACACATGTATTTGTATACATATTTCTGTTTGTTGTTTTTAAAAAAAAAATATGTTCTTACTTATTTCAGAGAGGGGGAGAGGGAGAGATAGAAACATCAATGATGAATCATTGATCAGCTGTGTCCTGCTCGCCCCCTATTGGGGATTGACCCCACAACCCGGGCATGTGCCCTGACGGGGAATCAACCGTGACCTCCCGGTTTATAGGTCAATGCTCAACCACTGAGCCATACTGGCCAGGCCATATCACAGTTTTAGAAACTGGGACCAGGAAGTTGCTATTAGATGGAGCTTTTATATATAGGGTAGGCAAAATTAGGATTACAGTTGTGAGTACACAAAACAGAGTTTACTCTTGTATTATTACTTGTTTTTGTACTATTTTTCATACAAACAACTATAAGCCTACTTTTGCCCACCCTGCACTGCACACTGCAGGATGTTCTGTTGCTGTGGTTAGGAGAAAGAACCCGTCAGAGTTACCACGATGTAACTGCCTGATGGGGGACTAGCCAAGCTGCCCACACCTACTGGTAAGCCCTGGAGTCTAGGTCCTAGTCGTAACCAGACCACATCCCAAGGGCTTTGGCCTCGGCACGCGAGGCAAACTCGTAAATCCCATCAAGGATACCACAGAAGAAACGTCACAGAAACATCCCTGTCCCACTGATCACCTGTCCCTTCTTACCATAGGAATGAGGTTGGGGCTGTCTCCCTTTTATCCTGTCATACACCCCCACCAAAAACCCAAATACCCCTAAGGAGAGGCAGCTGCAAAGACCACAGACACTCCAATTTACATAAAATTATCTCACTCCATTTTATTTAAGATTTTTTTCTCCAGTTAGTAAAAGAAAGATGTGTCTCTCTTTATACATATGTACAAGTTCAGTTATAAAAATAGACAGCACATTCAAAGAGAAAAAAGGCTTGGCATTTTTCTGATTCCCTCTAAATAGCATCTGTACATAGGAGTCTGGGTTTAGGCAGGGAAATCTTAATGATTTAAATTAAATGATTCCCCTACCACCCCTACTCCAAAAAAAGTTTTAAAAATTAATCTATCTAAATTCAATTCCGCGATTTTCATGTGTGCAAATTAGAGGCTGGCTCGCCTGGAAGCACCTGCTCCACCAGGAACATCAGGCCGGGCAGGCAGAAACACCTCCCATGCAGACACCTTCCTTAGCCTCTCTTGGAGGGAAGCAAGCTCAGGCTGTGGGGCGGGGCTGGGAGGGTGGGTGCTGAGCTCGCCCCCTCTCCATCCTCTCCTCCTCACTCCTGCTGTCCCTTCCTTTCTCAGTGCAATACAGACAGTGCATACAGCCAAGCAGGGGGCTGAAGGGCAAGGGCGGGGAGACTGTGCATTCAGGAAGGGCAAGGGGAGCCTGTAAGAGGGCGTGAGGCTGTCTTGCTGACTGAGGTGGCTCCTGGTCTCTTTACTGGCTTCTGGGAGTCCCAAGGTGGGAGCTGCTGCTACTGTTGCTGGTGGGACCTGAAGGTTCCCTGGTGTGAACCATGCAGGATGGGGAGGAAATGCTAGGAAAACAACTGCCTCCAGGCCTGCTTCCTCTAGCTTCTGTCACCCTCACAAGCCACTACTGCCTTTTGCACTCACTGCTCTCCAACGGAGACACTCTGACAAATGGGGTGTAGAGACCTGGGCAGTTACCCAAAGACTGGGCATGCCAGATACATGATTTCCTCCCTTCCTAGTCCGATAGGAAATCCCAGCTCTAAAAGAAGTTTCCACCACAGAAGGCTCTTCACCACACTTGTGAAGCCTTTGCAAGGGACAGGACCAGAGCTGAAGAGCGGAATGGGAACGGAGACAGTGTGCCTGAGCACCTGCAGGGGCTCCGTCAGGCCCTTCCCCGTATGAGGTTTAAGACGTTCATCTGAGATGCTGTGGGGCTGATCCCCGTCCTTGGCCTTTTTCCTATAGGCAACCCCAGAGCACACTTCTTGAGCCACAGGTGATAAAAGTGCTCAACTAACCACCTGCCGTCCTTCACCTGCTGCAACTGGTCACCTCTGCCCTCTGACCTGGGATGTAAGATGCTGCACCGGGCAAGCCATCCAAAGACCATTTGCAGGCTAGACCTCTAGCACGTGGTTTGGCTGAAGGAAGCTGGAGGCCTAGGTGGTTACCGTCCTCCAGACGGGTTGGTGCCTTTGCCCTGCTTCCGGACCAGGGAGTCTGGGGCTAGGCTGCTGGTCAAGTGGAGGCTCTTGGGTGTCCCAGGAACATTATTTCCTTTGCTCAAAGGGGAACTCAAGGGAGAAGAGGCGCTTGAAGGTCCAAAGTCAGCAAGGCCAGCAGGCCGAACCATAGATGTCTGCAGAGGACTGCTGGCAGAGATTCCTGTGGAGACGGAGAAGGAGACAAGAACGTGAGCGCCAGTTCTGTCTGAGCTGCCTCAGGCATGACCTTGGTTACTGGAGGAGAGGTCGTGGGCAACCCCTCCTGCCAATCTCTTCTTAGCACATTTGCTTGCTCTTCCTGTCAACTGTTTTGTTTTTCAGTAAGAGGGATGTACTTTTTAAATAGAAATATGACACCTACCCAGCCCTGCCTACATGACCTCGTCAGCAGGGAGTAAGGTAACATCTTGGTGCTCAAGGACAGAGCACACATTACACCATGTGGGAAAGCCAAGGGTGAGGGATGAGCTGTAACTTTCTAGGCACTAATGTATTTTTTTTTTTTTAAGAGAGAGAGAGAGGAAGAAAGGGAGAATTTGTTCCACTTATGCATTTATCAGTTGATTTTTAAAAAGGAAGGGAGAGAGAAAGAGAAACATTGATCAACTGCCTCCCGCACACACTGTGACCAGGGATCGAACCCGCAACCTGGGTACGTGCCCTGACAGGGAATCAAACCTGCCACCTTTTGGTGTACGGGACAACACCCCAACCAACTGAGCTCCCTGGCCAGAGCCAATGGTTGATTCTTGTGTGTGCCCTGACTGGGGATCAAACCCACAACGTTGGCACATCAGGAAGATGCTCTAACCCAGTGATCGCCAACCAATGGTCCGCAGACCACTGGTGGTCCGTGAGGTCCGAAAGGTTGGTGACCGCTGCTCTAACCAACTGAGCTACCTGGCCAAGGCAAGCACTATTGATTTTTCTGTGACACTCTAGCCCTTGCTGACTCTTTCGTCCCTCCTGCCCTCTTCAGGTCAGGGCTCCAGGAGAAAGTCTGATGAGTGAGACTCTGCCACAGCAGCCTTGACTGCTGGCAAGATTGTTGTTTTCCAAAGACGTCGTGAGGGTTAAGAAACACTGGCCCAGGCTATTATCTTTACATTTGTTCAATGAACAAATAAATGAAAGCTGGCATCCCTACAGGAGGAGGAAGGGGAGGTGAACTAGCACTTACTCAGTACTCTACTCAATAAAGCCCTTACTTGCTACAAAAATCCTATGAGCCAAATACTGAGACCATGTTTTAAATGGGGAGAGAGGTCTGTAAACAAGAGCTCCCCTCCTACCAACTCGGATGTCCTACATTCCATTGCTACAGCTGCTCCCCCACTTGTCATGGTCACAACAGCCACCTCCTTTCTCAAAATTTCCAGAGCCCATTGTTAAATCCTTGGTAAGCTCTTGCCCCCTCCAGTCTTGCCAACCTTGACTCCCACTGCTGTTTTTCAAAGCAGCCTGACTGACCTGCTCGGTAACCCCCAATATGCCCGCCTTGGTCATTGCCAACTTTGTCGCCAGTCCAAATCCTTCCTCACCCTTCTCCTTTCTGAATTATAGTCTGGCTACTTGGTCATCAGTTCCGTGGTTCCTCCTTTTGATCTACAACCACAATTAAGGCCTCTCTCTTTTCATTCAGTGTACACATACTGCCTTGTACTGCTGTTAAACATATTCCATGTACAGCTTTCCCTTCCTATTTCTATTATATACCCAAGAGCAGGGTCCATGTGTTATATCCTATGCACACAGCAAGTGCTTAATACCTAAAGTGATGGACCACATTGCTGGGTAAATGTTAACTACGCTAGCCTGCATATGGGGCTTGGGAAAAACATCTGTTCTCAAAGCAGAAACAATTCTGACTGTTTAAAGTAGACAGTCCAGAAATTCAGCTCTCTTTTCACAGCTACTTCCACCTCCAAGGCGGCCCTGTACTAGTCACAGGACAAGGGAGAGTCAGGAATGCTCAACGCAGAAGCAGAGCCCGATATGGGCTTTGGGAAGGAGCTTCCTGGACTGGGGTGTCCTGCCTGCTCCTGGTCGAATGCTCAGCAGACTGTCCCTGCCCTGAGGGGGCCCTCCTAGCTTCCAGGCCTCGGTACCTTTAGACACGTTGTACCCGTATGCAGCGAAGGCGGCCGCGGACGCTGCCGCAGCCCCGGCTTTGGCCCCCGCCATGGCCGCCGCACTGCCCGCGGTGGATTTCCTGCTCCGGCCTTTCGCTGCTCCTTTGGCTGTGCTTCCCGAACCTTTGGGGCGGCCTCGGCTTCGGGCTGAGTGACCACGTCCTGCGGTTGGCATTTCCTGGATGGAAATTCCTGTGGAAACCAATGGGCCAAGAGGAAAAATGTCAATCTCTTCATATATTAACAGAATCTTCCCTGACAGGGAGGGCTGGCTCTAAGGGTGTTCGTTTCAGGACTTCAAGGGAAGTCTATGTCCTCATTTAATGGCTGGGCCTCCAAGTCACACCGGGTTAGTAAGAATTCTAAGCAGCTAGCAGGCCGACTCCTCAAGAGCGGTTCCATTACTCCCGACCCTCTTCTTTAATGAGATCATGACTAAGTGGACCCCAGGGACTGGCTACCTGAGACCCACTTGCACACTCCAATGCACCTGCCTTGGAGAGTCAACTTGTACTCCCAAGCTTAGCCCTAGAGCTTCTGGAGACACAGAAGCCTGGGCCCCGTAGAACAAAGTGAGGAAAGGCCCAGCAAAGCTAACTGAACTAGCAGAAATAAGGGTGAAATATGAAAGACTGGGATGACTAGGAAACAAGGAAGTGTGAAATCTTTATGAAATTCTTATTTTGCTTTCCCTAACCTTCTCTTTTCCCTTCACTTGACAGGCTAATGAAAGGACGACCCTACAAATTCCTTTTACTCCATTCTACTCCTCTTTAAAGGAAGTAGAGAAAGCCATTATCCTAGAAGGAATCAGGACCTCATCCCACAACTAAACCAACACTTTCCTTGAGGCAGTGGCCCAGATCCAAGTTGTATGGGACAGCAGCACCACTCACCGTTCACGGTGTCCGAGACAGAGCCTGTGATGGAAGCGGGAGAGTTGGTGGCTCGAGACTGCGGGGCTGAAGAGGCTGGGTCATCCACAATGACCAGCATGTCACTACTGCTCTCGTCAGGCGGAATGGAGCCAGTGTGCAGCTCACTGCTGATGGAGATCTAGAGGAGGAAGGGTTGAGATCACTACACCTCCCTGTGCCTTGGTACCTATGTGAGGGCGTGCTTCTCAAGTCTTGCCACTATTTACCCCTCCTGCCTGGCTTCTCCTGAGGGTTAGGTCCCTGCTTTAATTCCAGAGAAGCCAGCCTGTCCTCATTTGCTCTTTTTCTTATGGATTTTATGTGCAACCTCCTTCTAAAAGGCAGGAATACTTCAGGAGAAGCAACCACTACAAGGTCAGGACAGTCCCCCTGCTGTGATGAAGGCACCTAAAAGGAGACTCACCTCACTGAAAGGGCTGGGCATAGCTGAGTCCACGCTAATGAAGGAATCGTCCCCATCAGCAGAGAGGTTGGAGTTATCAGCTGAGGGAACAAATGGGATCACCAAGTTCATACCCTCCTTTCTCCTTTTCCCATCCAATTCATCTTCTTTTTTTTTCTGGGGACACACAAAACAAGACATATGGACAAAGCATGAGGATATACACCAAAAGAAAAGTGGAGTCAGGGAATAAATTTGACTTTGTAAACTAGGTTTTATTTTTTGCAATTAATGTATTTTTTTTAAAAAAAACACTCTTATGGAAGCAGGAAAGGGATGGCTTAATAAGAGTTCATGTAACCCGGCCAGTGTGCTCAGTGATTGAGTGTCAACCTATGAACCAGATGGTCATGGTTCGATTCCCAGTCAGGGCACATGCCTGGGTTGTGGGCTCGATCCCCAGTGTGGGTAAGAAAGAGGCAGCCGACAGATGATTCTCTCTCATCACTGATGTTTCTATCTCTCTCCATTCATCTCTGAAATCAATAAAAATACATTCTTTTAAAAAAAGAGTTCATGTAGCCCTAACTGGTTTGGCTCAGCTGATAGAGCATCGGCCTGTAGACTGAAGGGTCCCAGGTTCGATTCCGGTCAAGGGCATGTACCTTGGTTGTGGGCACATCCCCGGTAGGAGGTGTGCAGGAGGCAGCTGATCGATGTTTCTCTCTCATCGATGTTTCTAACTCTCTATCCCTCTCCCTTCCTCTCTCTAAAAAAAATCAATATATTAAAAAAAAAAAAGAGTTCATGTATATTCTACCACAATAATACAGAGTTGAAAGGTAGGCTAGTCACACTGAAAGCTGCACCCAGCTTAATCCTCACGGGGCAAAGTGCACAGCCAGCTCTGGCGTGTGTCCGAGCTGCAGCACTCACCGGGGGTTGCACTGATGCCGTCTTACAAGATGGAGGGCTAATGCCATTAGCATATTTCCTGCACATCTGTTTTTACTCTGCCTTCATTTTAAATATGCATAAAGAGAATGAAGGTTCTTATCATACACAAGGAATAATTTTTTTTGTTATTTTTTGGTCATATTTCCTCACTTTATATGTAAAAGCTTAAGAGGTGAGTGACTAAGCTACACTTAGCAGGTCTAGATTAGGGACCTGGAATCAATCACACAATGTGCTTGGAAAATTCTGGGACTCACATCCACCTAACTGCTTTTGTTTCTGCACCTGTATTAGGGTTAATATGGTATATCCTTGGCTGGTTTGGCTCAGTGGATAGAGGATTTGGATCAAAGGCACATACTCGATCCCCGGCCCTGGTTGAGACATGTGCGGGAGGCAACCAATCCATGTGTCTCTCTCACATCGATGTTTCTCTCTCTGTCTTACCCTCTCCCTTCCACTCTCTCTATTGATCAATAGAAAAATATCCAAGGGTGAGGATTAACAACAACAAAAAGGTATATCTTTGTGTAGGTCATATTGTCACTGGGTCTTTATCTGAAACTTCTATGCTCAGAGTAAGGATGGCATCTGATGCAAACCCAGTAAACCCTACAATGTCCTGTATGAGAAAACAATCTTCCCTCCTTTGATATTGTTTCTGAATGTCAACAATATTTTAATTCTAAATAGCACTAAGTAATGGGTTAGAGATTTGAGGATGGAGTCATACAAGAGAATCTGAGGAACTGGGTAGAGATGGCAGCCCAGGCTAAGCAGGAATATGATCCTTCATTTCTGGGACTTCTCAGGTTTGTAACCATAGTGGGTACAAACTGTAATGGGGGCATCCTTCAGGCTAAAAACAGTGCTGCTTAGCAGAGGTACAATCTAGGGTGTGGGCTTTCCAATAGAAAGAGCTAGTGTATCTACTGGAAGATGATATAATATACACAGGCTCTTACGCTGCTGACTATCAAGGCTGTATGGCCCTGAGGGACACGAGGTCCAATACAAGTGTGGGTAAAGGGAAGAAGCTGACCTCCACTTAAAACAACCAATTTTAACATGTGGCCAATCAATATGCTTCAGATAAACCAAAAAGTCCAAGGAAATGGAGCATATGCAATTGTCAGACTTGAGGGCCCAAAGCTACCGAGATGCCTGAAGCTCAGGTGGCTAACTTGTTCAAGAGTGGGGCAAACCAGGGCTGGGGAAGATGAAGATGAGAAGGGCAGTACAACCCAAAGGTAAGCCAAACCCACCAAAAAAATACCTTACTAGAAGGTAGTAAAGTAGTTCCAAACCAACAGTCCTTGGAACATATAATAAATGAGTCAAAACTAATGGGCTAACTCCTGAAATAAGGGAGACAAACGGTACAGACTAAGCTGGGCAGAGGTTTATTTTTCCAGTGGTAAAGGACACTGAATGAATGGTACACTAGCAGCATCATGGTAGAAGGATTGGATCTAATGACCTCTTAATATCAGTAAGAATAGAACACACAGCTGGAGCTGTATAACCAACCAGTAACCAAGATGGCAAGGCACGTACTCCGAAGCCTTTTCTATAGGTACTGCCTCGCACCCCACCGGTCCTTGTCAGCCACCCCAAACTTGAGATACCTTCTCTGCATACTTTTCCCGCTTGCGCTTGCGCTCTTTGACTCGGTTGGTTTCTTCCTGCTGCCGTTTCTCTTCTTGCCGCAATCGTACTATTAAGAAAATAAAAATCATATGAAGTATCTGGGGCAATCATAATTCTCATTTTGAAATTAAAGTGACCGTATCCTGCCCTAGCCGGTTTGGCTCAGTGGATAGAGCATCGGCCTGCGGACTGAAGGGTCCCGGGTTCGATTCTGATCAGGGGTATGTACCTTGGTTGCGGGCACATCCCCAGTGTGGGGTGTGCAGGAGGCAGCTGATCGATGTTTCTCTCTCATTGATGTTTATAACTCTCTATCCCTCTCCCTTTCTCTCTGTAAAAAAATCAATAAAATATATTTTTTTAAAAAAATAAATAAATAAAGTGACCGTATCCTGCCTTGGCTGGTCTGGCTCAGTTGGTTGGGCATCATCTGTGCACTGAGGGGTAACTGGTTCAATTCCAAGTCAGGGCACATGCCCGGGTTGCAGGCTTGAACCCTGGGAGGGGGGCATGCAGGAGGCAGCCAATGTTGTGCTTTCAGATCGATGTTTCTCTCTCTCCCTTCCTCTCTAAAAATCAATTTAAAAAATCTTAAAAAAAAAAAATAAAGTGACCACATCCTTTGATATTTATATTCCAAAGTATGACTTCTATCTGTCCAAGTCAGCTAACCGGTGGTTTTCTAACTTTAAGAAGGAAAAGAGTTTTTGGATTCATTCATTCATTCATTTATTTAATTTTTAATGATTTCAGAGAGGAAGGGAGAGGGAAAGAGAGATAGATGGAAACATCAATGAAGAGTGAGAATCATTGATTAGCTGCTTCCTGCACGCCCCCAACTAGGGATCAAGCCCGCAACCTGGGCATATGCCTTTGACTGGAATCCAACCCGGGACCCTTCAGTCCACAGGCCAACTCTCTATCCACTGAGCCAAACTGGCAAGGGCAGTTCTTGGATTCTTAACAGTTTTTGGCTCAAACTATGATTCAGTTTAATTATGATGGGCCTTTCTTTGCTTTTGCTCTTTTTTCTCTTTTTTTTTCAGTCATTCAATATCTCTGCATTGCACAGATCAAGTGTGGTTTTGAGTCCCAAAAGGTTTTCAGAAGATGGTGGCAAATGTAAGCACATAAGAAAGGAGCTTCATCATGTGATGCTACGTAAGTTCTCAGAGGCTCTCAAGGTGAGTCTGAAACCCACTGTTCTCAAAAGCTAGTAATACATGGGAGAATGGTTTGTATGTTACAGCAGTGCACTTCTTCTCCATAAAAAGATTTCTCTGAGCAGAACAGAGTAAAATTATTACTGCGGAGGAGTCTAAGGATATAGCCTTCCTGGTGCAAATTTATTTAAAGTCATATTAACTTAAAAATTACAGGAATTTTACCTTCTATTCCATAACACATCTTTATTTTGGTTATAATAATAAAAGCATAATATGCTAATTAGACCAGACGTCCTTCAGGACGAAGCCGGGACTGCGAGGGAAGCCTGGGCCCCGGTGCCAGAGGGAAGCTGGTGCCGGCAGCTGGGGGAAGGAAGGCCTACTCTTGCATGAATTTCATGCATCAGGCCTCTAGTATTAACATAAAAATATTTCCCCCCAAATAAAGTCTTTGGCTTTGCCTACCCTTGGCACACAGCCAAGGGTCTCTTCCATTTTCAGACGTGTGGGGCCAGAGAAACATCTTTTGTAGGGAGGAGAGAACATTAATAAGAGGTTTAGAGTACATACGTTTCTTTTCCAATTCTTCATCGTCTAGAAGAAGACTAACCACCTCTTTTGGTTTCAAGGTATCTGGTTTGAAGTTCCCACCAGAAATCACCATCCGCTGAATCTACACAAAGCAGATCAAAATGTCACACCCAGGCATCTATTCCATAACGGCAAACCTCCAAAAGAAAGAAACATGTTTCTCCTACCGGGGAGGCCCCTGGAGCCCCTATTTTCTTTTTCATTCCGCTGACTGGCTCATCTAGATTATTTATTCCTTTCTAAAGAGAAAGGACAATTTCTTTGGAAATTAACAAATCTGGCCACTATTCAGAACCTGATCAGATTGAGAGTACCAGGGTGAGAGCTTGTGAAAGTATGACAAGCATGAGGGCCATGACTAGTGTCCTCTCCACATGAACAACAGCTAGATCTAGGCGATAAACTCCATTCTGGTAGAAAAGGAGTGAGAAATAGCCAGGGCAATAAGAGGTTAGTATTGTTATAGGACCTGATTTTTTCTTTCTTCTTTTTTTTCCCCCCTCCTGATTTTATTTTCCATCCAGGAAAAATTTAGCCCCTTCAGACCAACAAAAGGCAAGAGAGTCTTAGTCTAGTCAATGGGGTGGGACTTTGTATTTTCTTCACCGTGTAGTACCTCCTCTGCCTCATGCTTACCTCACTCTTCTCCTTAGCTCTCTGTAGAATGCGTTCTTCAATGGTGCCTTTACAGATGAGCCGGTACACGGTAACCTGCTTTGTCTGCCCCAAGCGGTGGGCTCTGTCCATGGCCTGCTGGTCTACAGTGGGGTTCCAGTCGCTATCATAAAAAATCACCTGCACAGGCAGACAAGAATACAGTAAAGACTAAGGGACTCAACACAGGAGCAGAAATTCTGAGAGCAACCCAGCCACTCATCTCTTTGTATATGACATTAAGATGAGCAGGTATCCATTTATAAAACCAATCTAGTCCTGGGCAAGAGAGCGACTCTGGACTTTTTTCAGGATTTTTATTTAAAAAGAGGGAGTGGCGATAATATTAGTAGTGAACACTTAGTGCTTGTTATCTACTAGTCATTGTTCTAGTTGCTTTGTGTATAGTCACACACTGAAATCCCATATTCACTATGACTGAGGTACTATTAAGACCTCATTTTATAGATAAGGAAACTGAGGCACAGAGGAATTAGAGAATTTATCCAAGATTACACAGCCTAAGTAAGCGGTGGGCCTGGGATGTGGGGAATATGAAGAAGCCTTCTCTCTAATACCAGGCCTATCTTGGTAAGAGACAGACATGGCTTTCCTGGCATTCTCAGGCTCCCATCAATAGGGTCATTTCCTATCCCTTGAATTCCAGGGAAGAAAAGTTTAAAGGTTCCTTGGAAGCTACTTATAGTTTGCTAAACAATAAACACAAACAGCAACAAAATGTACCACTCCCTCCCCAACCCACAAGTGATCCTAAAACCAACAGATGCCCTAGCTGGATTGGCTCAGTGGATAGAGCGCCAGCCTCCGGACTGAAGGGTCCCGGGTTCAATTCCGGTCAGGGGCACATGCCTGGGTTGTAGGCTTGATCCCCAGTAGGGGGTGTGCAGGAGGCAGCCAATCAATGATTCTCTCTCATCATTGATGTTCCTATCTTGCTCTCCCTCTCCCTTCCTCTCTGAAATCAATAAAAATATATTACACACACACACACACACACACACACACACACACACACACACACACACAAAACCCAGCAGACTCCTGGGTCCTCAGCCAACACAGCGGACATCCTGAAAGAAAGCCAGTTCAAAAATGGCCACCTCTCGTGCATCCTTCTCTATATTTAATCAAGTCACCAAATCCAATCAGTGCTTTTTCAGAAACGAACCTACCCTTTCTACAATTTCACTGTCCCTATCCTGGTCTAGGCACTCACCACCTATGTCTGGTTCACTAATGCCATCAGACCAGCTCACCAATGCTTCCTAGGTTTCTACTCCCTCTCTGCCAGCTGAAACACATCAAGTTCAAACACCCCCCAATCATCAGGCCCTGCTATTTCTAGCCTTTCCTAAAATATAAACACGCCCCTCACTTTCATCAGACAGGTCTCTTCAGTCTTCCTGACTTGCATTACACATTTGTTTGTAGCACTTTTGCTCAAGCTGTTTTTCTGGAATCCTTCATCTCTTCTCTACTGGTCCTTTATAAGATTCTGTTCAAGCTTCACATGTTCAGGAAGGCCTCCCTGATTTCTCCTGCCTCTGACAATGTTTCCTTTTCCTATTCCCCATGAATTTCAATTAGAAATAATAATGGCTAAAATCTGTTGAGCACTTACAATGTGTCTGGCACTAGTGGGCACACATATCTCATTACATTTTCACAAAAACCGTATGTATTTCCTTCATTTTTAAGTTAGAGAGAGAGTGACCTAAGTGCTAGCACTATCAACCTGCACTATCAACAATCCCTTGCATTGCCTACCCTGGTCCAAGTTTCCACTGAATCACCATCTTCTATAGGTGCCGATGTGTATTATTTAAATGTCTTCCCATCTAGACTTGAGGACAGACAAGATTCATCAGTGCAAACTAGAATCCCAGATACTAGGTGATTGATACTAGAATTTCTAAGGAATCTGACAAAACCAGACAGAGCCTAAAAATGTAAACGGAATACTGATTTGTCTCTCTTGAAACTATTTCTCTATGATGCCTTTTCCATTGCTTAACATTATTCCTAAGTAATTTATTTGTTTTCTCATTTAAAAACAAAGGTTTCATTTTCTGGTGACATCACAAGAGGGGGACTCCTTTGGGGTGAATACCGGGGATCCCACTTGCTGCCTGGACCAGGAGTTCCTGGGGCTGAGGCCTGGACTCTTTTATTTGCAGCGCTGTCAGGAATTTTCTTGTCTTGAGTCCCAGTCGCAGCCTCAGCAATCCTCGTCATCTCACCTAAGACCTAAGTTGAACCCAGCATTTTTGTATGACGCGAAAAGCATTTGCTGCCTCTTGTCTGAGCTTCTTCGTAAGGCACTGGAAGCATTTACTGTGTATGGTATGGGAGGCATTTACTGCCTCTGGTCTGGACAAGCCTCATCAGCTCTGGGTGGCAAGAGACCTCTATTGGTCCTTGCCTAGTCCCCAAGCCCGTAGCCTGATCGGCTCTGGGATGAGAGACATTGCTTTGCTTCAGTGTTTTTTTTAAGCACAGGTCATTCTGAGGTTTCTGTGGCTGGATAGATAAGAAGTACAGTGTAAAGCTCTTCTCTGTGGGTTGTGCATGCCTGTAAATACTGTACCCTGTAAATACTGTACCTAAGTGTCTCTGTTGATTGTTATTTTGTGTCTCTGTTGTTTAATTTGTTTAAAGATGGGGCATATCCCACTTGGCTGGGGGCCTCAGCTGCTTGTGGCAGGCTGAACCCACAGCAAGGATTACAGGAACTTCCCAGCATCTGCCTAGAGTTCTTAACCTTGGACACCCTCCCTGCTCTCCCTCTCAAGGCATCAGCCACCTGAACCGTTTAGCTAGTAAGAGCTCTTTTCTGTCTGTAATGTATCTTTGGTTCTGATGTTCTTTGCTTGCTTTCTTATCTTTTGGGGACTTAGTTCGCTCCTCGCTGTTTTATGAACACAGGGAATCCTCTGTCCCTGTTGTTTGGGCTTTCCACCACTCAGATCCTTCAGACCCTCAGACCAAAGAGCAAGAAGGTCATCTGCCTTGCTGGGTAAATGTGAGATAAGATTCTCAGGCTAATGCCCCAGTCCCACCTTTTGAGAATAACCATTTGTTTTTTATTTTATTTTTTAATTTTTTAAAAATATATTTTATTGATTTTTTACAGAGAGGAAGGGAGAGGGATAGAGAGCTAGAAACATCGATGAGAGAGAAACATCGATCAGCTGCCTCCTGCACATCCCCCACTGGGGATGTGCCCGCAACCAAGGTACATGCCCTTGACTGGAATCGAACATGGGACCTTTCAGTCCGCAGGCCGATGCTCTATCCACTGAGTCAAACCGGTCAGGGCGAGAATAACCATTTATTTACTTTAGAGGTTGTTTCTCTTTTGAAATAGGATTTGTTTGTTTTGAAATAAGATAAGATCTCTTATATGCAAGATTTCCATGTTGTTACATCACAAGGATTCTACTCAGGAAGAAAAATATGGAAATAAACCTTCTAACCTCCCAAGTCTTTCTCCTAGAAGGGCTGGAGCTGCAGAAGAGCCCTCAAGCAGGCTGCAAAAGCAGCAGCCCACTCTGTAAAGGAAAAAAAAAGGTACTTTCACATTAAAGCTGGAGGCCCAGGAGTTGTTGCAGTCTTGGAAACAGCTGCAGGGTCTGTTATCTCCTTCTGCCCCCCATCCCTCCCCCTTTCTCCAGCCCCCTAAAAGTTGTCAAGGTCATGTTATCCCTGTTACAAAATTTGCCAAGAAAATACCTTGGGTAATAATTGGTTTTAAAATTTCATAAAGTTAAGACATAATAAAAAGATATAACTAAAATGAAGGGTTTCTAAAAAATGTTTTTATTTATTTCAGAGAGAGGAATGGAGAGGGAGAGATAGAAACATCAATGATGAGAGAGACTCATCAATTGGCTGACCCCTGCATGCCGTCTAATGGGAATTGAATCATGACCTCCTGGTTCATAGGTGGATGGTCAACCACTGAGCACACCAGCTGGGCTAAAATGAAGGGTTTTGGGTAACTTAAAACTTCGGAGTTTTGCTGTGTTAAATAGTAAAAATTATTATATATCTAAGTATTTTGAAATGACAGGACATTGAAATATTAATATGTTTGCCTATGTTTGGCTTTGAATCTGTAAATGAATATGTCTTATATTTTATTTAAATAGAACTCTTAAAAACGTGAATGTATTATTAATATGAGGAATGTTAATTACTTGTCACCAAAAAGGTCAAAGTTTCTAAGAATTAAAATTCTAGTTACATTGGAAAGAAATTATATGATTTTAGTAATATGGAATTGAAAATAGATGGTTCTTAAGTTGGTTATCTCTGAATGAGTTAAGAAGAAGTAAAAAAAAACAAACTGAAAGGGACTAGGAAAATTGCAGAGGAGCTGTGCAAGTTGAGAACAAATTATATGGAGGAAGAAGAAAAAAGAAATATACAGGAAGTCCTCAGGTTATGTTGGACTCGAAGTACGTCGTTTCGTGGTTATGTTGCCACCTCCCATTTATTGATAAAAAAAAAAAAAAGTTCCGTCATTTTGACGTATGTACATATGTGCTTTGTTTTTTATTATTTATTTACCACAAGTAAAGGTCAGGAATTGTTATCTTCCTTTTAAATTTTTTTTACTGTCTCACTTCATTACTGCGGTGTATGTGCTCCATGTGAGTGACGTAGGTGCTTATGTAGGTGAGTTCCGACTTATGGCGAAAATCGCGTTACATCGCACCGTAACCCAAGGACCTACTGAATAGGTAAACTGAATAATACACTTAATTAGATAAATGAATCTACAGTAAACTAATACAGAATTTGTTTGGTCGTTTTCCAGTCTGTTAAAAGGAAAACAGCTTTTCCTGTATTTGCCTAGGAAGCAAAACTGTAAAGTATTGAAATGGTTATATATTGTTATACTAATCACATAGTTGATTACTTAAAAAAAAGCCATCTTCTTAATCATGGGAACTGATGTTTTATTAGCCTATGTTTGTGTTTAATACCCTTTTGTTGTTACTTTGAATACATAATTTAATAGTTTCATAATAATAATTAATATACAATCTTTTGGTCAAATATGTTTGACAACCTTCCCAGGGTTTGAATTTTAAGAAACTTTTTCTTGACCCAGA